TGTGCATCTCAAATCCCAAAAGCACCAAGAGCTTCTTCCCAGTGAAATGCCCTTAATGAGGGCTTGAAAAGCAGTGGAGAGGGGAACAACCTGTCCCTTTCCTCAGCATAAATCAATCCTTTGCATAAGCCTGCCTTTAATATAAGGATCCTGTAGCCTGGCTTCACAAATACCTTAAATCTTTCTCTTAAGCACTAATAATACTTAATAAAAGTTTTATGAGCAAGGTACATTTTAGAGTAAATTTTCATATCCATTTTCATTTTAAAAGAACATCAAGCAGCAAATGTATTCATGGCAGAACAAAGTAATTTAGGAGAGTCACAAAAATGGCTCTGGCCCCCTCTGAAATAGTAGGAGAGCGTTGATTTGGCAAAGTGACCAGTGGGGATGGGATTCCAAAACTTAATTCACCATGAAGGACTTGAGAGGGAAGAAATTCCCACTTGCCTGCTAACATTATTCCTCTGCCTGCAGGGGTGAAGCAGGGCCTGGTTCATGAGGCTGCCCCAGATGTCCCTGGAGCTGCCCTGCTCTTAGGGAGTTCCTTAGGATCAGCGTTAGCTGGGGCTGTTAGGGGAGCAGATTTGAGGAATTGCCATCAGAACCAAGGCCTTGGGTGGGGTCCATTGGCCAAAATCGTGTCATTAGTGCCATTTCAGGCAGGCAGGGACAGCTTTGCAGCTGCTCCCCCAGGAGTGTGTCCCGCCAGTGCAGGTGTTTTGGGAACTCCTGGCATCTCAAAGGCACCAGGTACCTTCCCTGAGTTACTGCCCTCCTGAGAACCCAAAAAAGTCTTTTTGTTACCAACCTCCTGCTGCCAGCACTCGACAGCAGCTGCTTTATTACCCCTTCAAAGTTGTCCTGCTGTGCTCCTCGCTTCGCTTCTGAGCCCATCTGGCATCTGCTGTCTCTGTGGGACAAGGAACAGTTGGAAACCACTCACAAATTGTGTTCAGACCCACGGAACAGTTCCCAGAGGAAGGGAACCTCATTTTCCTGTTGCCTCACAAGCCAGGGCTGTCAGAGGGCTGGTTCTGCAGTGCTTGGCCAGAATGCAGCGTGCCAGTCCTTGAAGCACTTGGAGCCCTCCCTGAGCTCCCATGGACCATCCCTGCTGGAGCTGCAGGAGCCAGGCTGGCCAAGGAGGATGATGCTGGGGTGCTGGGCAGGGCTGGGTGGGAGATGGAATGGGGATTGCCAGGCTGTTTTTTTAAAGATGTGCAACAATTCATATATTTAGACTTGTTTAGCAGCAAAAGGATGTTTATTTCCTTTGAATAACTGAGTGTTGAGCTGGAAAAGTCTTCTTCTTTTTGTCTTTAAAAGAACATCAAGGAGGTTTGTGTGGATTTAATTTTAAGTTGCTTGCACAAAGGACAGGTTGGGGTTTGTAGTGGACAGTTTTGCTGATGAAGTGTGAATCCAACTATCACCTTGTTGGCAAGGGCCCAGCAGGGCTCAGAGGACAGAAAATACTGCAGAATTTTGCATTTCTCATGGCTATTAAAGTATTCAGGGACTTGGAGAAATGGGACTGGAAGGGTTTTCTAGAAAGTGTCCCCTGCCCAGCAAAGCTTGAGGTTGTCTTTAAACCCAGCTGGAGAGTGTCTGCCTCACCTGTCCTGAGAAACCACCAGAAAATGGAGGTTTCACACCCTCCAAGGCAATTTGTTCTACTGCTTTAGCTCTCCTTACAGCCAGAACATTTTCCCTTGTGCCTCACCTAAATCTCCTGTGCTGCAATTTCCTCCCATTAGGCTCTGCCACATTCCCTGTGGATGTGATGAGCACTTTATTACTTCAGCCTTTGAAACAGTTCTGTAGCTACCTAGGAGTGTTGTCATTACCTGAAGCTACATGTATCCATGCAGTTTAATCCATTCTCAGAGGAGAAATGGAACCTGAAGTTATCCTGATGTCAGGAGATTTAAAAAAGAAAGGAAAGAAAAAAAAAGAAAGAAGGTATTTAACAGAAACCAGCTGCTCTGTGTTGAGCAAATAAAGTATATGAAATAGAAGTAAATAAAACTTTTGTATCGTATGTTTTCTTTCCACTTGAACTTAGGTTGTAGAATCACTATGAAATTTTTGGATGGATTTTACAAGTACCCTTCCAAACAAGAACTGTTTCAAAATGTGATGAAAAAATTGTTGAAAAATTATGTCTTTTGATGCGTGCAATAAGGGGTCATTACTAAAGACAAATTGTTTGTCTGGGTGTGCACTGCATCTCATGGAACAGAAAATGTCAAACCCTTCACTGTTTGCCTTTCCACAGAGGTTTAAATAAGAGCATTAATGAAGGTGTGAGCCCTGTCATCAGCTGCTGCCTTTGTCTCTTGCAGGAATCTCCTTTATGTGTACCCACAGAGCCTTAACTTTGCCAACCGGCAGGGATCTGCCAGGAACATCACAGTGAAAGTGCAGTTCATGTATGGAGAGGATCCCAGCAATGCCATGCCGGTGAGGGGGCCCTGTGCTCCATGGGAGGGAGCAGTTAGAACTCCTATCAGGCTGTTCAAACCTCACTGAAATGCATTTCAAAATAACAGCTTGAGAGGAATAGAAAATGATATTTCAGAGCCAAGAGTGCAGTTGTGTGGAGTTTGCAAGGTGGAGCAGCTGAATTTTAACCTGAGATTATTGATTATAAGGGTGGTGAGGTCCTGGCAGAGGTTGTCCAGAGAGATTCTCTGTCCCTGGAAGTGTCCAAGGCCAGTTTGGATGGGGCTTGGAGCTACCTTGGGTAGTGGAAGCTGTCCCTGTCTCATTCCTGAGGTGGGATTTAAATTCCCTTCCAACCCAACCCATTCTGGGATTCTGTGTTTGCAGCAGGCACTGCTCATGGTTGGAACAGAAGCTTTGCTTCCATGACAAAGGATTAAAGGTGACAGCTTTGTTCAGGGCCAGCAGGGATCCCCACTCAGAGGATCTGTGCAGGGATGGTTCCATCCATCAGTTCTTCTGCCATGTCTGTGTCCATGTGTCACTGGAGTTGTTAAAATTGTGCCTTTTCAGTGACTGGGTGAAGTGCTGCCTGTAAGGGAAGGGGCAGGGAACAAGGGGCAGATGTAACTGTACAGGTGCACAATAAATGGAGCTCGAAATGTCTCTGCAGGATTATGGAACAGATCTTGGCACAGTTTTATAGGGGGGTTCCTGTGTTTTTTTCCTCTTTTTGCAGGTCATCTTTGGCAAATCCAGCTGTCCTGAGTTTTCCAAGGAAGCATACACAGCTGTGGTGTATCACAACAGGTAAACACAGTGTGGAAGTGACTCACCAGTGACTGGTGTTAATTATTTAACAATCAGTGTCTGGACAGCACTCACAGTGACTGCAGTGCCAGTTGATGCTGTCCTTAGAGTTTTTGTGACAACTGGGAGACAGAGTCTTTGTTTGCTGTGGTACAATCAGCTTTGTGTGATCCTGAGCACGTAGCCCAGCTCAGCAGATGCTCCAAGCCCAGCTCCAGTCAGCAGTCACGAAGATTTATGTTCCAAACTCACGGGAGCAGGTGCCCCCGTTGTTTTCTTGGAGCCTTTTAGACATTAGGTACAAATTGGAGCTACTTGGTCTTGAAAATAATTCCATTGCAGCTGTGGTGAGGGGTGCTGAATCCAGCAGGAACGTTTTCCTGGCTTTGCAGCTGTGCCAAGGGAGATTCCTGTCCTGCAGGTCGGGCTTGTGGCAGTGTCCACATTGAGACAAAAGTTTATTGCTCATGTGGTTCAGAGTGCCTGTGTGAGGAGGAGGAGGCTGCTGCCCATTTTTTTGTGGATTAGAAGTTTTTCCAGTCTTTGGTGATCAGAAAGTGGGCTTCAATCCCTTGGGGTAGCCCATACACTCCCTTCCCTGCAGATCCTTTAACTCAGAGGGTTCAGTCTGAAGCACAAGGTAGCAAACCACTGTGGGTGACTCAGCTGAGGCTCTGCTCTCTGCACAGATCTCCTGATTTTCACGAGGAAATCAAGATTAAGCTTCCAGCCACTCTGACAGACCACCACCACCTGCTTTTTACTTTCTACCACGTCAGTTGCCAACAAAAACAAAACACACCTCTGGAGACTCCAGTCGGCTACACCGTGAGTGTCTTTCTGTCCTTGCATTTCTCAGGATTCATTCAAATGCATTTGCTGCCTCTTTGTTTAGCATCCCTGTGAGTTCATATCCCATTGGGGAGCTTGGGAAATTGGCAAAAGCTCCAAGAGAGCCTTAAGAGATGTGTGATTTTGTTGTTTTCCTCTCTTTGCAGTGGATCCCGATGCTGCAGAACGGCCGGTTAAAGACGGGTCAGTTCTGCCTGCCCGTGTCATTGGAAAAGCCACCCCAGGCTTATTCAGTGCTTTCTCCAGAGGTGAGCTGAGTTCTGCCTGCTGGAAACCAGCACAATACATGGGAGAAAAAATGAGAGGATATATGTGTACACATCTCTGTGTATACATTTATTTATTTCCTAAATGCCATTAAATTTAGACAGAATTTTAGTGTTTGTGTGTGGCTATGTGCATGTGATCCGGCCAAAATAAATGTAATTAGCAGAGCCTAAGCTCTGCTCTCTGTCACATCCTCTCTGATTCTTCCTCCTGCAGGTTCCTCTCCCTGGGATGAAGTGGGTGGACAACCACAAAGGGGTTTTCAATGTGGAAGTTGTTGCTGTGTCATCCCTCCACACTCAGGTGGGTGTTGAGAGCAGTCACTGGAATAAAATAATCTTCTGACAGTTGAAACACTGTCAGAGTTGATGCTGTGTGTGACAATCCCTTGTAGTGAAATTACAATCTCATTTTCAGTTCTGAGCCAGCACACCTGTTTTTCCACATTCTGCTGTGAGTATATTTGAGAAGTTCTGCTTAAAAATATGAGTGGTTTGGCCTTAATTCACAGGGGAGTGAATGGCCAACAGTGTTTTCAGCCTGTTGTGTTTGATACAACAGCTCTAACACAGCCCAGGCAAATGATGTTTTCTTGTTTTCTTGTTTTCTTATTCTTGTTTTCTTGTTCTTCCCTTTCCCCTCCTCCTCTTTTGTTTCTTCCCTGTATTTTCCCTCTGTCTGCCTTTGATCTGAAAATAAAGATGACAATCACTTTGTTTAATCATTTGAGCTTTTGTTTTATTAATTCCCACTGTGTCATTTTGATGGGCTGTGTGTATTTTATTTGTGCTGTAAGTAGTAATGTGATTTTAGTGCATTTTTTGTCTGGTTTGTCTAAGAATACAGAGTCTGTGGGTCCTCTAGTTTTGCCTTGATAACTTTGAAACTAGAATTAGAATTAAATATGGACAAATCTCTCAAAGATGTTGAATTTCTGCTAATTTTGTGAGATTAAATGGCCAGATAGAAAAATGAGGGTGAGAACCCATCCGTGAGACACAAATCCATAGAAAATGAAGATATTTTGGGGATTCTTGCTGATTACTGGCTTTTTGCTTGTTGTAGGACCCTTACCTCGACAAGTTCTTTGCACTTGTCCATGCTCTGGATGAGCACATGTTCCCTGTGCGAATAGGAGACATGAGAATTATGGAGAACAACTTGGAAAATGAACTGAAGAGCAGCATTTCAGCTTTAAATTCCTCTCAACTGGAGCCGGTAGTGCGATTTCTTCATCTCCTGCTTGACAAACTGATCCTTCTGGTAGTAAGACCTCCTGTCATTGCAGGCCAAATAGGTATTTTATTTAAGTTTTATAGAGAATTACATAGCTGAAAGTTTGACACTTCCAATTTTATCATATTTATGTAGAAGTAAAAAAGTCCATTTTTATGCTTTATTTTAGTGCCACTAATATACCAAGTGTCTCCCAAATAAAACATGCTGGCATCCAGATCTGGGGTGATATACACAGGAGCAATATTTAATATTTAATGGAAAGCTTCTAAAAGGACTGGGAATTTGGTGTCCAAATTGAGCCAGCAGAAAAAGAGCCTGATTTTCCTGGATGCTCAGCATGTTTTAGCACTGGAGCTTGTTAAGGTGTCTCTATCCTGACAGAAAATAGGAATTTCAGCCTTATTGGTCACCTTGGAAAATCTGGAAGTAGGTGAAGTAGGAAATTACAGATGCTGCATGTTCCTGTTGTGGGTCTGATACTGCCAGCATGAATAATCCCTTCTTTTGCTCCCTGTGAAGGGCTAAGCTCTGGCAGTTCAAAAAAAATCTCAAATTTAAGTCAGGATTAGATCCTTACTATTTAAAGTAGCAGTTTTTGCTGATTTTCTTTTGTAGGAAACCTGAGTTTGGACATTGTGGAATATAAGGATCTAAGACTGCTTTACAAATACTTCTAAAAGTATTTTCTTAGCTGTATCATTTATTTGTTTAATCTTTCTAGAAAAGAATTTACCTGCATTTTAATTTTATATTTTAATGTTCTTTCACTCTTTCAGTGTTCTGAATTGGTTTAGTTGGTTTGTATGGAATATTATGGACATTAATGACTGGATTTATTTAAAATAAGATTTTAATTTTGTAGCTACTGTCTTCTTCATCCTTAATTTTTCAAGTGTGTAGTTTTTTGTGCTCATTTTCCGAGCAGCTTTTTTCTCTCAACAGAATGAAATTGTTCATTTGATACAGTTTGTGTTTTTGCTAAGGCTTAACTAGAGGAAATAATTAACTGAAAAAAAGCATGATAAAAATCCAAAGGGTATTACCCATCAGTTAAACAAAGACTTGCCCTTGTTACCATTGCAGTTGATGACAAAAGCTGGGCTGGTTCCAGAGATGGAGCCTGAGTTCATTAAGTTTATTATTAATAAAAGTGGCAGCAGATCACTGGAGCAGCTCTCCTGCTCTCAGGCTGGTCAGAGCTGGTTCAAACTCCAGGCTCAGTCTGGGATCAGAAAAGCTTGCTGGGCTCTAGGAAGCTCCACCATTTACCCTGCAGGAGGTGGATGAACAGCACATTTAGGATTTTCCCTGGGTCCTGCTGCCCTCTAAACCAAACTCCTCCCTTTTTGCTTTCAGTGAACCTGGGCCAAGCATCTTTTGAGGCGATGGCATCCATCATAAACAGACTTCACAAGAACCTGGATGGCAACCAGGACCAGCATGGCAGGAACAGCCTGCTTGCTTCCTATATTTATTATGTTTTTCGCCTGCCCAACACCTACCCCAACTCACCATCACCAGGTAGCTCTTCTGTTTTTCATTTTATTTCAAGCTTGGTAAAAGAAGGCAGAAACCACTTGTTGGCAGGTGCTCCTGGGCTCCAGCTGTGTGGCTGCTTCCCTACAGGGCTCTGTTTTTAATTTGCCTATGTAGCCACTTAAAAGATGAGTTTAATTGCTGTTATTCAGAGATTTAATTATTTGATGATTTTAAATGAGTGTCACTGTTGAAGGATCGTGAATTAAGGCAAAAAAATGGATTTTAGGGTTTTTTCTATGAGACAGATGTGATGCACTCCTGGCCTGTCATGTTTCCCAGTCTCCTTCACAAGAACTTTTATACTTAATCCAGTTCCAGCAAAAGTTTAAACACTGGCTGGGTGGAATAGATATCCAAAGGGTATTATCCATCAATTATCAATATCCAATTGCAATTGATGACCAAAGTTGGGGTGATTCCTGAAATAGAGCCTAAATTCATTGAATTTATAATTTATATAATATTCTACATATTTTAATATGTATATATATACATATATATATATATGACATGGTTTTATTTCTTTGTATACCTATAAAATATAGACATTATATATTTAAGGCAGGAGTGCAAAATACTAGAAAACATGTCTGGGTGCAGGAGGGAAATAAATAAATAAATAAATGATATTAATAAATAAATTAATCCTAGCTGAGAGCAAGGGATGGGAAAGAGGCGGTGTGAGTGACAGCCATGGAAAACCAGGTTTTGGAAAGAATGTTCATGCACACAGTGGGGAAGCTCTGAGAGGTGTTGGGAAGGTTTTGTGCCTAAAACTGTGCCCACCTTGGATGGGTTTTGAGTGTGAGGTCTGGAAAACATCCTGTTAGCTAAAGACAATCCCACAGGGAGCCTCGTGCTTCCCTGTGGATAAAACAGCTTTTAATTCTCATGCTGGAGTGACCGGGCAGGGCTGGGTGTTCTGAGGGGGTCTGGGTGATAAAGGATGGCCAGAGTTACCAGAGTTACCAGAGTTACCCTCAGGCCTGGGTGTCCTGAGGGGGTCTGGGTGATGGATGGCCAGGCAGGGCTTTCTGCCCTGAAGGTGGGGGATGGCTGGAGTGACCAGGCAGGAGAGGCCTGGCTGTTCTGAGGTGGTCTGGGTGATGGAGGATGGCCAGAGTGACCAGGCAGGAGAGGCCTGAGTGTCCTGAGGGTGAGGGGTGGCCAGGCTGACCAGGCAGGAGGGGCCTGGGTGTCCTGAGGGGGCTCTGGGTGATAAAGGATGGCCAGACTGACCAGGCAGGGCTGTCCTGAGGGCTCTGAGTGAGGGGTGGCCACACTGACCAGGCAGGACTGGGTGTCCTGAGGGCTCTG